CCATCCATCCATCCATCCATCCATCCATCCATGCATTTTACCTTTCATCTTTCCTCCCTTCCCTTTCCCCCTTTTCTCCCTTCCCTTCCTTCTTTCCACCCTTCCTTCTGGCCCCCCTCCCATTGCGTTGTCCTTTTTCTTCCTCTTTCTCCCTTGTCCCAAATTATACCCTTCAGAGTCACGCTCCACTTAGCTCCAGGTCCTTTTCCTTCCCAGCTTGGTTTCCCCCCTCCTTTTTGTTTTTTTCCTTCCTTGAAAAAGCAGAGGATGATGGAAGGAATGGAGAAGGATGAATAAACCACAAGCAGAGCCTCCCAGAACGGCTGAGGCTCATGAATATGTTCTGGTTTCATAGAATCGTACTTGTAAGAGACTACTCTTACAACTAGAGTCATCCAACCTTGTTCTTTCAGAAGGGGAAACACAATCCAATCCTTCCCGACAGATGGCTACCCAATCACATAATAACAATAGTAATAATAACAACAATACATTTTATTTATTACCCACCTCTCTTGATGCCTTGATAGACATTGGCAGGTTAATGGAGAAACGGGTATAGAATCAAAGGCTCCTAGAGTTGGGAAGATACTCCAAAGGCCATCCAATCCAACGTTCCACAAAGAAGGAAGGCACAATCTGATCCCTCCCGACAGATGGCCATCCAGCCAGAGATGTGTTTATACATACACATACACACATGAATGATAGATAGATATATCAGAGAATATTAAAGGGTCATCTAGTCCTGACAGATGGCCTACAAGCCATAGACATGATAGATATGTACATAGATAGATATGATAGGAATATCATAGAATCTTAAAATTGGATGTGATCCCAAGGATCACCTAGTTCCAATCCCCTTCTGCCAGTCAGGGTGGCACAATCCAATCCCTCCCAACAGATGGCCATTCAGCCATATATATGATATACAGTGTGTGTGTGTGTGTGTGTGTGTGTGTATACATACATACATACATACATACATGATATATGTATCATAGCATCTTAAAGTTGGATGTGATCCCAAAGGTCACCAAGTCCCAATCCAATCTGATCTCTCCCGACAGATGGCCATTCAGCCATAGATGTGATATACGGTGTGTGTGTGTGTGCATGAATGAATGAATGATAGGGATATCATGGCATCTTAATGTTGGATGAGATCCCAAGGGTCACCATCCCAGTCACTTTCTGCCAAGTAGGAAGACACAGTCTAATCCCTCCCAACAGATGGCCATCCAGCTATACCGTAAATATGATATATAGGGTGTGTGTATGAATGATAGGTATATCATAGAGTATTACAATTGGATAAGTTCCCAAGGGTCACCGAGTCCCAATCCCCTTCAGGAAGGGAAACACAATCCTATCCCTCCCACCAGATGGTCCTCCAGCTTCATCAACATCAACTTCAAGGAGAAATAGAGCTAAAGAATCAAGGGCTCATAGAGTTGGGAGGGACCCCAAGGACCTTCCAGTCCAACCCCTTTCTACTAGGAAGGAAAGACACAGTCCAAGCCCTCCTGACAGATAGCCATCTAGCCTCTGCTTTGAAACCTCCAGAGGCCAATGAACCTTTTCTCTTTCTTTCGGCGACAGGTCTGTAGTGGGAACCTGCTGGCCATCCTGAACCGGCATTATCAGGACGTGTCTTGCCTCGCTTTCACGGATGACAGCAGCCATTTCATCTCGGGGGCCAAGGACTGCCTTGTCATCGTCTGGAGCCTCTGCAGGTACGGTTTTCCATTTATTCCTGCCTTCTTTTTCCAGGAGGCTCTTCTGTTCCTAAAGATCCTGCCAGGGATGTTCTGTCCATTCTAGCGGCATTTTGATAGATGCTCAGAGGAACACATTGCTGGGCAGCTGTCCCCTTTGGGCAAGCGTTTTCTTGGCATCTTGCATTCTTGACAAGCCAAGACACTCTTTGAGGAGCTGAGAGAGTATTATATTAATAATATTAATAATAATAATTTATTATTTATTTATTATTTTAATTATTATTTATAACAATTTATTATTTACTAAATATTTAAAATGTTACTAATTATTAATAATCATTATTAATAATTATTAATACATATTATTTATTTATTTATTTATTATTAATTAATAATTATTAATTTTTATTTATTTATTAATAATTATTAATAATTATCTCTGCTCCTCTAAATTAAATCTTGGGAGCATTACATGTTTAGACTACATCTTAGCTTGGCGAAGGATGGGAATCCAATGAACCGATGTCAGAAAAAAGTAACTTCCCCAAGATATCTAACTTCCTGGTGATCAGGGCCACTTTTTTATTGCTCCATGTATTGAAGGCAATGGAAATTTGTATTGAAGAATGACAATAAGAAAGCTGTTCACTGTTAAAGGGCACCCATATCTATATATTCATGGTTGTATACATAGAGATCTGTATACCTAAAGATAATGAGACATGAAAATAGTAGTAAATAAAATAAAATAAAGAATGCATGGAAATAATAATAATAACACACTGAACCCCACCGATGATGCAGCTAGAGCAAACTTGCCCAACATAACAAACTTTAAGTACTGATGGAGTTTCAGGGGGTTTGACCTGTAATGATGTGAGTTGTAGTTCACCCACAACCTAATGGATTTTGTACAATTAAAAAATTGACTTTTTCAAATAATCCAGGCAACACCAGGTACCCAAGCTAGTAAATAATAAATAAATAAATAAACTGTATTAATAATAATGCAGAAAAATGAAAATAAATGAAATAATAATAATATAAATTGTGTTATTGCACCTTCGTATATAATGAGGCTTGAGCATCCTGACTGTGAGAGCCGTTCAGCAGTGGAACTCTCTGCCCTAGAGTGTGGTCGAGGCTCTTTCTTTGGAAGCTTTCAAACAGAGGCTGGATGGCCATCTGTCAGGGGGGCTTTGAATGCAATATTCATGCTTCTTGGCAGGGGATTGGACTGGATGGCCCATGAGGTCTCTTCCAACTCTATGATTCTATGATTTTGCAGGGACCAAAACCCTAATGGGTCCCAATTAATTTATAATAATAATAAAGAGCTAATACTCTTTAGAAAAAAAGGCACTGAAAGCTCAGTTTGCAGTGAAACCTGTTTGCTTCGAAGCAATTCCGAAGCAGCCCCAGTGGTGCAGAACATCAATCACAAAGACATTAAGTTAAAATTATTTGGTTTCTGATTGGAAGGAGAGGAGAAGGCGAGAGCAATGGCACAGCTCTCCCTCCCAAGCCCTTAATTTAAATAAATCACATTTGATGACATGCAGGAATGAGAATGCTGGCTCTTTGCATCTTCTCTTGCAGTTGAATCCATTGCTCAATTGTGTCCAAAAGCAGCAGAAAACAAGCTTGCCCCTTTCCTCCTCAATGAGATAGCCTTTTGGATATCTAAACATGGCTCTTATGTTAACCTCCTCTTCTCCTCCACTTCTTTCCCAGTGTGCTGCAGGCCGATCCTGACCAAAGTCCAGAGCCTCTCCACATCTGGTCGCAACACACGCTTCCTGTCACGGACCTCTGTTGTGGCATTGGTGGCCCCATGGCACGGGTTGCCACTGCCTCGCTAGACCAAACGGCGAAGGTAAAGGCAAAGTCCCATGTTATTTATTTATTTATTTATTTATTATTTACTGTATTTGTATATCGCCCCTCTCAGTCTTCCGGCAATTTGAGGCGGTTTACAAGGCAAAATTCAATGCCATAGAAACACAAGTACAATATAAAAAAGTGTTAACATCCATAAAATCATAACAATAGCAATAAAATATAATAAATTCTCGTTAAAAACATTGTCCAGTCTCATCGTGTAGTTGTTCCTACAGGATGGATACGTGAAGCTGGAAGGTTAAATCGAAGAGCCTCTTTTTTCCTTGGAGAACATATAATTGTCTTGGAAAACCTAGAATTGCATTGGAGGAATTAGAATTGCCTTTGAGAACCTAGAATAGCATTGGAGGTCCAAGGGATTCCTATAAAAGACACTTCTTTCAAAACCTCTAAGGCCTTCATGATTATACGGTCAACTTCCTATAGAAAGTCTCATTGGAGAACATAGAAGACCTAAAATTGCATTGGAGGTCCTAGAGGTTCTAAAAAGAGCATTGGAGGACCTAGAATTGCCTTAGAGAGCCTATAGATTCCTATAAAGAGCATTTTTCTCAGAACCTTTAGGTCCTCCATGATTATACAGTCAACCTCCAATGGAAAGTCTCCTTGGAAAACATAGAAATGCCTTGGAGGACCTAGAATTGCATTGAAGGTTCTAGAGATTATGGAAAGAGCATTGGAGGACCTAGATTTGCCCTGGAGGACCTAAAATTACATTGGAGGTCCTTGGAATTACTATTAAGAGTAACAGCAAGGCTTTCATATTTATTCGGTCAACATCCAGCCGAAAATCTCCTTGGAGAACCCAGAATTGCATTAAAGTCTCTAAAGATTCCTATAAAGAGCACATCTCTCTGAACCTCTAGGTCCTCCACAATTAAACAGCCAATTTCCAATGGAAAGTCTCCTTGGAGAATCTAGAATTGCATTGGAGGACCTAGAGATTCTAGAAATTTTTCATTGCACCTAGAGATTCTTGGCCTTGAAAGACCAAGAATTGAAAGACCAAGAAATTTTTCATTGCACCTAGAGATTCTTGGCCTTGAAAGACCAAGAATTGCATTGGAGATCCTAGAGATTCCTATAACAAGTACTTCTCTTGGAAGCTCTGGGTCCTCCACAATTATACAGTCAGCTTCCAATGGAAAGTCTCCTTGGGGAATGTAAAATTGCCTTGGAGGACCTAGAATTGCATTAGAGGACCTAGAATTGCATTGACGGTTTTAGAGATTCCTAGAAGAGCACTTCTCTCAGGACTTCTAGGTCCTCTATGATTATACGGTCAACATCCAATTGAAAGTCTCCTTGAAGAACCTAGAATTTCCTTGGAGAACCTAGAGATTCCCAGAAAGAGCACTTTTCTCAGAAGTTCTAGGTGCTCCAGGATTATATGGTCAACTTCCAGTAGAAAGTTTCCTTGGAGAACCTAGAATTGCCTTGGAGAACCTAAAGATTCCTAGAAAGAGCACTTTCTTTGGAGCCAAATTCTCTATATGGTCAATCTGTGGTAGAAGGTTGATCCCATTGGGATCCGAATTGGCCTACCAAAAACTAGATGCGATTAAAGGCTCCCATCCTCAAAAGCATATTAAAAAAAGTTAAAATACGATTAAACTCCCCATGCGACATCAAGAAGGCAATTTAAAAGTGATTAAATTGCTTTTCTAGGCCATTGCCTTTGGAGGGAAAGGCACGGCGGCGTTCTAGTAACTCATCTCCTTCTGTCTGCACAGCCTCATCCCTTTTTATAGCATCCAAGGGATCTTGAAATGCTGCTATATTTAAAAAAAGAAAAGAGTGCTAATTATTCTTATCAAAGCCGGCCTTCTGCCACGTTGCGTTTCGATCGGTCTGTGCGATGTTCCGAAGTGGCCGCACCTGCTCTCCAATTTGTATGACGCAACTAAGGCTCACTTTCCTCTTTCCTCAGTTGTGGGAGATCTCTTCRGGCGACCTCCTKCTCTCCGTTCTCTTCGACGCCAGCCTCATGTCYGTGACCCTTGACCTCGCCGAGTATCACATGTTCTGTGGGGGAATAGACGGTTCCATCTTCCAGGTTGACCTTTGCTCCTGGGTATGTGTCTCGCCCCCCCCCCCTCCCCACACACACACTTTAACGCTACGAAAGATAGTCTTAGCTTATGTTTTCCTTATATGAACCCGAGACAAGGAAAAGGGGATGGCAGTGGGGCATTCAATCCAGTACACACTGRCTCTCCTTTCTTTCTGTGACCAGGGCAGTGGCAGTCGGCATGGAGAGTGAGACTTTCATTTGTTTCTAGACCTAGACATAATGGAGCTTGCCTGCCTTTCTGCCTCTGAATCTGGGGCAATAGCAGTTGGGATGGATGGAGAACCTTCCTTCTGCTTCTAGGCCTTGTCTTCTCACACTCTGGGGCTGGGCAGTGGCAGTTGGGATGGAAAGGAGGCATGATGAAGTCATGTCCATTTCTTCTCCCCTTCTGAGACTAGGGCAGTGGCACTTGGGAGGGATAGAAGACTTTTCATACACTTCTAGGTTTGATGGAGTCACGCCCATCTCTTCTCTCCCTCAGATCAGGCATTGGCAGTTGGGATGGATGGAAGACCTTTCATCATACTCTTGTCTTAAACATAATGGAGTTTTACCTGTCTCTTTTCTTCCTCTCGGATCCTTTCATCCAGGCGATAGGCATGATGAAGTTGTGCCCATTATTTCTCTTGTTCCGAGGCTAGGGCAATGGCAATTGGGATGGAGGACCTTTCATCTGCTTCTTGGCTTTACCTGTCTTTTTCTTCTCTTCCTCCAAAGCCACTTCTGGGCATAGACGCAATGGAGCTGTTCCCATAGCTTCTTCTCACCCTCTGAGATCAGGCAGTGGCCATTGGGATGGATGGAAGACCTCCCATCTGCTCCTTGCCCTAGACATAATGTAGCTTTGCCCATCTCTTCATCTCTTCCTCCAAGCTAAGGCATACTGGAGCTTTCTCTGCCTCATCTTCCTCTGAGACCAGGCAGTGGCAGTTGGGATGGATGGAAGACCTTCCATCTTCTCCTTGTCCTAGACATAATGGAGCTTTGCCTATCTCTTCTTCTCTTCCTCTCAGATCAGGGTAGTGGCAAATGGGATGGAGAGGAGGCCTTTCATCCGGGTGATAGGCATAATGGGGTCATGCCCATTTCTGCTCTCATTCTGAGGCGAGGGCAGTGGCAGTTGGGATGGATGGAGGACCTTTCATCTGCTTTTTGGCTTTGCCTGTCTTCTTCTCCTCCTCCAAAGCCACTTCTGGGCTTGGGCATGATGGAACTGTGCCCATCTCTTCTCTCCATTTGAGATCAGGCAGTGGCAATTGGGATAGATGGAAGATCTTCCACCTTCTTGTCTTAGACATTATGGAGCTTTGCCCATCTCTTCTGCTCTTCCTCCAAAGCTAAGGCATACCGGAGCTGCCCCTGCCTCATCTTCTCTCCTGTTGAGATCAGGCAGTGGCAGTTGGGATAGATGGAAGACCTTCCACCTGCTATTTAGCTTAGGCATAATGGAGCTTTGGCTATCTCTTTTTCTCCCTACCCAAGACCAGGGCAGTGACAGTTGGAAGGAAGAGAAGTCCTTTCACTCACTTCTAGGCATGATGGAGCTGTGCCCATCTCTTCTCTCCATTAGAGATCAGGCAGTGGCAGTTGGGATGGCTTGAAGATCGTCCACCTTATTGTCTCAGACATTATGGAGCTTTGCCCATCTCTTCTGCTCTTCCTCCAAAGCTAAGGTATACTGGAGCTGCCCCTGCCTCATCTTCTCTCCTGTTGAGATCAGGCAGTGGCAGTTGGGATAGATGGAAGACCTTCCACCTGCTCTTTAGCTTAGGCATAATGGAGCTTTGGCTATCTCTTTTTCTCCCTACCCAAGACCAGGGCAGTGACAGTTGGAATGAAGAGAAGTCCTTTCACCCACTTCTAGGCATGATGGAGCTGTGCCCATCTCTTCTCTCCATCTAAGATCAGGCAGTGGCAGTTGGGAGGGATGGAAGACCTACCTGCTCCTTAGCTTAGACATAATGGAGCTTCATCCACATCTTCCCTCTCTCTCCGTCTCTCCAAAGCAAGGACAGTGGCAGTTGGGATGGATAGAAGGTCTTTCATTCACTTCTAGCTGTGTCAATCTCTTCTTGTTGTTATCCAAGACCAGTGCTGTAGCAGTTGGGATGGATGGAAGACCTTCCACCTGCTCCTTGGCTTAGACATAATGGAGCTTTGCCTATCTCTTTTTCTCTCTATCTGAGACCAGGGCAGCAGCAGTTGGGATGGAGAAGAGGGCCTTTCCTTACTGCCTTCACATGGGTTTTGTTGCCATCTCTCTTCTCTTCCTCCTTGCAGCCTGTGAACAGAGAGAGGGGCTTCAACTCAGAGCAAGAGAGTGGGAAGATCTTCAAAGGCCATAAGTAAGTACCGTTTAGGGTGGACTTTCTTTGGATTGGCAGCTGGCCTTTCTTTACAAGGTAACCGCTTTGTGGGAGTGTCAATGTGAGTGATCTTCCAATGCTTTTTCTTCCGTCCCAAACAGGAACCAGGTGACCTGCCTCTCCGTCTCCACCGACGGAAGCCTTTTGCTCTCCGGCTCTCACGACGAAACCGTCCGGGTGTGGGACATCCACAGCAAACAGTGCCTGCGGACAGTGAATTACAAAGGTATATGGGGAAGGGAAATATTGCTGTTGTTGTCTTGGAGTCAACCATCTCCTTGGGGTCCCAATGCTCTTCGGGGCTGAGAGAGCACTCCAAATCACTAGTTGGTTTCCATGGCTCAGGTCTGAGCAAGGTAAAAGACTCAGACTGTGACTTATAATAATAATAACTTTATTTTTATACCCCGCCAACCATCTCCCCTAGGGGACTCGGGGCGGCTTACAAGGGACACGTCCAAGATTACAATTAAAACACACATGTAAAACACTTTAACCAATTAACCATCAGATAAAACAAATAATAACACATTTGAAAGCAATATAAAAACAATTTGGCTGAAAGAAACATAGCTGAGGTACAGGTTCAATGGCTTGTGCCAGAGTCTTTGCAATTCGATCTTTATATCCTCATATTGTGTCAGCTTTTCCTGTTGCTTCTCATCAATTTTGCTGTCGCCTGGGATCGCAACATCGATGATCCATACTTTGATGATGATGATAATAATAATGATGATTATAGTAGTAGATAGGGAACATTAGAGCCATTTTTCAAGATTTCAAAGGGTGTCCCATTGAGGAAGAGGGGGAAAACTGACTTTTTGCTGCTCTAGAGACCAGGGCACAAGGGAGCAATGGGTTCAAATGGCAGGGAAAGAGAATCAGCTGTAAGGATTAGGAAGAACTTCCTGGAGAGTGGCCTAGACTGCCTGTTTCGTGTCCTAGTCTCCAAGGAAGCAGAAAACAAGCTTGCTCCCTCCTCCCTGTGGCTTCCTCTCACATATTTATACATGGCTATCATATCTCCTCTCAGCCTTCTCTTCTTCAGGCTAAACATGCCCAGCTCCTTAAGCCGTTCCTCATAGGGCTTGTTCTCCAGACCCTTTATCATTTTAGTTGCCTTCCTGGCCCACCTACCCCATTCTGGCCTGCCATGTGGCCCCCAAGTTAAAAAGTTTGCCCATGCTTGATCTGGACACAATTACACTATGTAACACAATTTTTGTCCCTGGGTTACCAATGTCATTTCCTAATTGGTCCTATCATAAAAACATGGGAAAAGTTGATTAAACTGCCAAAACTTTGTCTTCATGGGACATCCTGCAGCACATTTTGCTCTAGATTTTTAATGAATATCCCATTGATTCTCAACCAATTCAGCGTAGTTTGCGGCAGACAGAAAAACGAAATTTCTTGAGTAAAACCATGACTTTCAAAGTAAGGACCACGCAATTAAACAGGAAATGGCACTTTCAAACCAGGAACCAAAAAAAAATGTTGTGACATAGTGTTATTGATGCAGCCTTATTTTGCTGGGGCATTATACACTTGGCTCACGTTCAGCTCTACCAGGACTGGATTGTTGTGAGTTTTCTGGGCTGTATGGCCATGTTCCAGAAGCATTCTCTCCTGACATTTCGCCTGCTTCTATGGCAGTCATCCTCAGAGGTTGTGAGATGCGGGCGAAACATCAGGAGAGAATGCTTCTGGAACATGGCCATACAGCCCAAAAAACTCACAACAACCAAGTGATTCCGGCCATGAAAGCCTTTGATAATACATTCTACTAAGTCTCTTAGATCCGTTTTGCATGAACCGTTTCCAAGCCTGCATTATTTGTAGTCTTTCTGGACATCCACATTCTTAGCTTTCATGCTTCGTCGAAAGCACTGTAAAATCCCAAAGACAAAGCTCTGTTCGTCTGGATCAGAGACTAACCAAGGGTAAAAGGAGCTAGTGGCAGACTCGTCCGTAGATACAATTCATTCAGGTGAATGGTTGGTAAACCTGCCCAATTTTTCTGCCTCTCGGCACTTCAGAGGGACATCCCGGGGAGCAATAAATAGGCCCGTCATCATCGGAGGCGCCATTTGGCCGCGCAGTCGTTCCGTACGTCGTTCTTCCTCTTAATGAGCTTTGTGTCCAGGCGCAGCGATGTTTCCACTTCATTACCGGCGGCAACATGATTTAAGCGTCTTCTTAGCTCCAGCAGGGAGGAACCGAGGCCCGGAAACAACCCCTTCGCCAAGGAAGCGTGAAACGCATGCGGTCGGATCTCAAATGCCAGGACGTGATGGGCTGAGGCTGTGAATTTTTCATGGCGCCAACATGCTCCTGGTATCTGCACCTCCTTCATTGAGAAGGAGGAAGCCTTTTGGACCCATATAACCTATTAGTAGTAGTAGTATATTTATTTATACCTGCTTTTCTCCCTTTGACCAACAATCCTCACTAGACAAGTTTAAAAAGCAATCCTTCCCAAGCTCCATTTGTTTGGAAATGGCCTGAAAATAATACTGTTTAGCATAGGGTGCACGTGTGTTATGCTATGTAGTCCCTTCTCAGAGAGGAAAGTGGGATATAAATCAGGAGGAGAATAAGAGGATGAGGAGGGAAAGGAGAACAAGGTGAAGGAGAAGAGAAGAAGAAAAAGGAATAGGGAGGAGGAGGAAAGGAAAGAGGAGGAGAAGGAGAAACAAAAAGAGAAGAAAAGGAATGAGAGAAGGAGAAGAGGGAAGAGGAATGAGAAATAGAAAGAAAAGGGAAAAAAGGAAGGAGAAATTAGAGCAGAAAGAGAAAACGAGAGGAAAAGGAAGGAGGAATGAGAGAAGGAGAAAAGAAGAAGTAGAGAAGAAAGAAAGAAAAGGAGAGGGAGGAGGGATGAGAGAAGGAGAAAGAAAAGCAGAAGAAGAGGGAGGAGAGAAGAAGGAGAAAGAAAAGGAGGAGGAAGGAGAGAAGAAAAGGAAGAGGAATAAGAGGAGAAGAAGAGAAATGAGAAAGGAAGAAGAAGGAGAAAGAAAAGCAGAAGAAGAGGAATGAGAGAAGAAGATGAAGAATGAGAGAAGAGGGAGAGGAATGGGATAAAGAGACAAAAAGAGAAGAAGAGGAAGGAGCGAAGAAAGAAAAGGAGAGAAGAGGGAGGAGGAATGAGAAGAAGGAGAAAGAAGATAAGGGGAGGAGGAGTCAGAGAAGAAAGAGAAAGAAGAGGAGGAGGAAGAAGGAGAGAAGAGGAAGTGAGAGGAATAAGAAAAGGAGAAAGAAAAGGTAAAGAAGAGAAAGGAAATAAGAAAGCGAAAGAAACAGAAGAGGGAGAAATGAGAAGAATGAGAAAGAAAAGAAGAGGGAGGAAGAATGAGAGAAGGAAAAGGAAAGTAAGAAGGAGAAAGGGGGAAGAAGGAGAAGAAGAAAGAACATAAAGAAAACGAGGACATTTTTGGGCTCGTTTCCATCTTGCCCATCCCATTGTGAACTTCAATTTGAGATGGGATTAATGCAGTTCCACTTTTCTCTCCCAGTTTTATAACCATCTTGTTATAAAACCCAGCCCTTTGTGCCCTCCTTCCAATATCTAATTACTTTCCAGCCTGTTTTCTTTTTAATAGAAAAGCCCTGCTTTTGAGCCTCGGCATCCAATCGCTATTGTCACCCTCCCCGGGGGAAGCATTAGCATCCTTTATCTCGACAGAGCAGAACAGCCGATAAGGAGCCGGCCGTCGTGTCTCTTGGGCACCCGATGTCTCTTTTTCCTCTTGACATGTGTTTTTTTTCCACCCTTGTTTTTTGGCTCCTCGGTATTTCCCTTTGCACTTGATCTCTGCAGGGCAGGAGCCCGTAAATCCTCCACTGGCCAGAGCCACCAGACAGCCCCAATAATGAGACTCCACGTTGTATAATTTAATAAGGCTCTGAAAAACGGCCCGTCCTATGCGGTTAGGCCAGGCAGTGGCTGGATTTCAGTGTTCGGTAGCAACAATAGTCATACCATCATTCCAAAACTGCAAATGGTTGGTAAATTGGGCAGCAGAAGGCTTGCTTATGGACAGATCTTAGATCCATGGGATCATAGAGTTGAAAGAAATCACAAAGATCATCCAGTCCAACCCCCCAAAAATAGAGGGAGGGAGGGAGAGAGAGAGAGAGAGAGAATACTCAAGAGTTGGAGGGGGCCCCGTAGGTCATCCAGTCCTACCCTACGTGGGTGGGTGGATAGATAGATAGATTTATGCTAATATTTTTAATTGTTTTTATGTTGTTGGGGGGCATCGAATTGTGCCGTTTGTAAACCGCCCTGAGTTGTCCGCAGGTTGAAAAAGGCAGTATATAAATATGGTAGGTAGGTAGGTACGTAGGTAGGTAGGTAGATAGAATCCTCGAGTTGGAAGAGACCCCAAAGGTCATCCAGTCTAGCCCCCCAAAGATAGAAAGAAAGACAGAATGAATCCTAGATTTGGAAGAAACCCTAAAGAACATCCAGTCCAAATCCCCAAAGATAGATGGATGGATGGATATATAGATAGAATTCTAGAAACCCCAAAGGTCATGCAGTCCAGCCCCCCAAAGATAGATAGATATATGGATGGATGGATGGATGGATGGAATCCTAGAGTTGGAAGAGACCCCAAAGGTCATCCAGTCTAACCCCCCCCCAACAAGACAGATAGATAGACGGATAGACAGAATGAATCCTAGAGTTGGAAGAGACCCCAAAGGTCATCCAGTCTTAACTCCCCAAGATAGATAGATAGATGGATGGATAGATAGATAGATAGATAGATAGATAGATAGATAGATAGATACCTAGAGTTGGAAGAGACCCCAAAGTTCATCCAGTCCAACCCCCCAAAGACAGACTGACAGATAGAATCCTCGAGTTGGAAGAGACCCCAAGGTCATCCAGTCCAACCCCCCAAAGATACAGAGATAGATGGATGGATAAATCGATGGATAGAGAGAGAGAGAGAGAATCCTCGAGCTGGAAGAAATACCAAAGGTCACCCAGTCCAACCAGTCAAAGTAGAGAGATGAATCAATGAATAAATGGAAACATAGATAGATAAGATAGATGTATTTTAAAGGTGTAAATGGTATAAAAAGCAAGCCAACCCCAACATGGTTGGGATTTGCAGCCTTGGCTAGGATTGCCAGCTTACTGAGCAAAACGTTACTCAGCATTTGGCGTCACTGGTGTTTTTCCTTTCCGACGGATGATTGAAAGCCAAATGCAAGCCAAACAAAGAGCGGCGCTGCTCCAAAATCCCTCGGTTTGCTTTGCAGCTTCAAATCGAATCCTCTAAAAGATCCTTTTATCCAAACAGATGCTGTACAGATTCGTGTATAAGTTGAACCATATATAAGAACCTCCTGCACCTTCGGTTATTGTATATACTCATATAAAAAAAGTCCAAAGACTCATCCCTGGGCCGCTATGAGTGTGGTGCCTTTCGCTCTTATCCAAAAAGGAGCCAGGACTTCAACACAAAAAACAAAAATCTTAACCAAATTTCTGATAGAGTCCTGTTGAGGAAGGGGCCAAGTTTCAGAAACTAGAAGGCCACGGAGCCATGGGTTCAAACAGCAGGAAAAAAGATCCCAACAAAAAAATTAGGAAGAATTTCCTGACTGTTCGACACAGAAATACGTTTAATGTAGTCTCTTTCTGGGGAGGTTTTGAAGCAGGGGCTGGAAGGCCATCTGTTAGGAGAAATCAGATTGTGCCTCCCCTGCATGGCTGAATAGGGTTGGTCTACATGGCTTTTGGGATGTTTACAATTGTGATTGTTTTTATATTTTATCTGATGTTTTTAATTGGTTATGTTCTATTTGTAATTTTTGAGCTTGTCCCTTGTAAGCCACCCTGAGTCCCCTGAGGCAGGGTATAAAAATAAAGTTATATTATTATTATTATTATCATTATCATTATCATTATCATTGTCATTATCATCTCTTCCAACTCTAGGATTCTATGTACCTACCTAGTTACCTATCTACCTATCTTTGAGGGGTTGGACTGGATGACATTTGGGGTCTTTTCCAACTAGGATTTTTCCTTCCTTCCTTCCTTCCTTCCTTCTTTCCTTTCTGTCTATCTATCTATCTATCTATCTATCTATCTATCTATCTATCTATCGAGGGTTAGAATGGGTGACCTTTGGAGTCTCTTCCAACACTAGGAATCTGTCTGTCTGTCTGTCTGTGTGTGTGTGTGTGTGTGTGTGTGTGTCTATCTATCTGTTCATCTATCTATCTATCTATCTATCTATCTATCTATCTATCTATCTATCCATCTACCTACCTACCTACCTACGTACCTATCTTTAGAGCAGGGGTCCTCAAACTAAAGCCCAGGGGCCGGATACGGCCCTCCAAGGTCATTTACCCAGCCCTCACTAGGGTCAACCTAAGTCTGAAATGGCTTGAAAGCACACAACAGCAATCCTATCTCATCAGCCAAAAGCAGGCCCACACTTCCCACTGAAATACTAATAAGTTTATATTTGTTAAAATTGTTCTTAATTTTAATTATTGTGTTGTTTTTAAGTGTTTGCACTACAAATAAGATAATGTACAGTGTGCATAGGAATTCAAATTATGGTGTTTTTTTCAAATTATAATCCGGCCCTCCAACAGTTTGAGGGACTGTGACCTGGCCCTCTGTTTAAAAAGTTTGAGGACCCCTGCTTTAGAGGATTGAAATGGATGACCTTTGGAGTCTCTTCCAGCTCTAGTATTCTATCTATCTATCTATCTATCTATCTATCTATCTATCTATCTATCTATCTATCTATCTTTGGGAGGTTGGACTGGATGACCTTTGGGGTCTCTTCCAACTCTAGGATTCTGTCCATCCATCCATCTCTCTTTGGGGGATTGGACTGGATGACCTTAGGGGTTTCTTCCAACTCTAGGATTTTATCTATCCATCTATCTTTGGCAGGTTGGATTGGATGATCTTTGGGGTCTCTTCCAGCTCTAGGATTCATTCTATCTATCCATACATCTATCTATCTTTGGTGGGTTGGCTGACCTTTGGGGTCTCTTCCATCTCTAGGATTCATTCTCTCTGTCTATCCATCCATCAGTACACCTATTGTATGTGTTTTAATTGAATAATTGCCTCTATGTAAGCTGCCTTGAGTCCCCTTCAAGATAGGAAAAGGCAGGGTATGAAAGAAAGAAAGAAAGAAAGAAAGAAAGAAAGAAAGAAAGAAAGAAAGAAAGAAAGAAAGAAAGAAAGAAAGAAAGAAAATAACCATTTTTCTCTATTTGGGGGATTGGACTAGATTACCTTAGGTATTTCTTCCAACCCTAGGACTCTTGCTGTCTGTCTCTATCCATCCATCCACCCATCTATTTTTTCCAAGTATTGCATTGCAGGGACTTCTTGGTAACTTCTCTGAAGCAAAGAACAATTCATCTCATCATGATATGAAGATCATGATATTCTTCGTGATCTTGTTAATCCCAGATCGGTATGATTCTGATTCCGATGAAGCCGAGCATCAATTTTTGAACATTTTTATGCCATTGCATTTTTGACGCATTTGGGATTTATGTCCCAGCAACATGAGGCTAATCGCCGCCGTTTTGTTCCATCGCCCTTTACGACTCCTAAAACGCCGAGACGACTGGGATAATGGAGCGCTTTACGGTCCCGCAACTGGGTTTTAAGAGAGCCGAAGCAATAGTGGTTCTCCCACACAGTGTAAGCTCTGCGGATCCATAATATCGGGTCCTTCTGAGGCTCTCCAAAACCCCAAAGCCATTACTATCTTAATTTTTTGGAAAGATGAAGCACCAAGCCATTTGTTATAGACCTTCCCCAGGCACCCAGAGGTGCTTACAGCTTCCTGGCCTCCGCATCCATCATTCGGGCTCTTGCGGCCGTCTCCCTGAACGATCGATCCATCACCGGTGGAGCTAATGAGGGCTTTAATTACCCCGCTTGCTGGGTGCCATCCCTCGCAAACGCAGCCTTAACTCACCTCTTGCGGGCATTGCTGCTCTCTTTCTGTTTGTATCCACCAATCTGAGGAAGAAGACGGCTTGCTGTCTGGAGTTCTCCTGTTTCGGAGTGGCGTTCACTGTTGACTGTCTTGATTTTGGTGTTTTTAAATAAATATTGGTAAACATATTTTGTTCATTTTCACACTTTAGTGTTTGGGGTGGCTGCCAAAGGAATACTGTTACCCTGAAACTGAAAATGGTTGGTAAATTGGGTAGCGGAGGGCTCCGTTATGGACAAATCTTAGATCCATAGGATCCTAGAGTTGGAAGAAACCCCAAAGGTCATCCAATCCAACCTCCTAAAGATAGATAGATGGATGGATGGATAGATGATAGATAGATAGATAGATAGATAGATAGATAGATAGATAGATAGACAGAAGATAGATAATACTCTAGAGTTGGAAGAGACCCCAAAGTTCATCAGTCCAAGCCCCCAAAGATGGATGGATGGATGGATGGATGGGGTTGGAAGAAATCCCAAAGGTCATCCAGTCCAACCCCCCAAAGATAGATGGATGGATGGATGGATGGATAGATAAGATAGATAGATAGATAGATAGATAGATAGATAGATAGATAGATAGATAGATAGATAGATAATACTCTAGAGTTAGAAGAGACCCCAAAGGTCATCCAGTCCAACCCCCCAAAGATGGATGGATGGATAGTGTTGGAAGAAATCCCAAAGGTCATCCAGTCCAACCCCCCCAAAGATGGATGGATGGATGGATAGATTAGATAGATAGATAGATAGATAGATAGATAGATAGATAGATAGATAGATAGATAAAATCCGAGAGTTGGAAGAGGCCCCAAATGTCATCCAGTCCAACCTCCCAAAGATAGATGGATGGATAGAAAATAGATAGATAGATCTATCCATCCATCCATCCATCCCATCTCTTTATCTTTGGCAGGTTGAACTGGATGACCTTTGGGATCTCTTCCAACTCTAAGATTCTATCTATCTGTCTATCTGTCTTTGATGGGTTGGACTAGATGTCCTTTGGGGTCTTTTCTATCCATCCATCTACCCCATCTATCTTTCTATTTTTAGGAGGTTGGATTGGATGACCTTTGGAGTCTCTTCCAATCCTAGGATTCTAAGAGACCCAAAAGGTCAGTCCAACCTGCCAAAGATGGGTAGGTAGGTAGATAGATAGGTAGGTTGACAGAATCCTAGAGTTGGAAGAGACCCCAAGGCCCATCCAGTCAAATCCCCAAAGATAGATGTACAGATGGATAAAGACAGACAGACAGAAAGAATCCTAGAGTTGGTAGAAACCCCTAAGGTCATCCAGTCCAATCTCGGCCATGCAAGGAAGACACAATCTAATCCCTCCTTCCAGTTCTGTTTAAACACCTCCAGAGAAGGACACTCCATCAAGCATATCACTATCAGGAAGTTCTTAGGTGGGGGGTCTCTTTTCCTGCCATTTGGCTCTGTTGCTCTGTGGTGTAAACATACGTCCATCAGGTCACCTCTCCGCCTTCTGTTCTCCAAGCTGTTTGCCCATTTTCTGTGAACCTTTTGGAACTGTGTTCCCTCCTCTTGCAGGTCCAATCACAAACGCCTTCTTGGCCCTGGCGCCTGCCAACATGCTCATCTTAGATGCCAAGCCCAGCATCCCGTTGCCCAAGTTCAGCCGGCACCTCCATGATTCCGAGGCCTCTGAAAACCCTGCCGGCGACGGGCTAACACTGCGTTTAGGACTGCACCAGAAGGTACGCATACAGAACCTTCCATTTACAAATAATACCTTTCGGAGGAGGTGGGACGGCTTTGCACTTGTTACCTAAGGAATCTAAAAATTCAATATTATCAGTTCGCAAACAAAATTTGCTACGTATCGCCTGACTCAAAGCTTATATATTTTGATGTAAACATTCATAATGTATATGTATGTGTGTGTATATATGTGTATGTGTATATATACACACACACCTGTGGAATAATGTCCGGGATGGGAGAAAGAACTGTTGTCTGTTTAAAACAGGGATTCTCAACCTGTGGATTCCCAAATGTTTTGGCCTTCAACTCCCAGAAATCCCAACAGCTGGTAAACTCGCTGGGATTTCTGGGAGTTGTAGGCCAAAACACCTGGGGACCCACAGGTTGAAAACAACTGGTTTAAAGCAAGTGTGAATGTTGCAATGAGCAAGCTTGATTAGCATTGAGCAACCATGAAGTTGCAATCTCAACCAGTGAGGGTATCTGCATAGAGGTAGCCAAGCCTTTGTTGCCTGGAGGCACCCTCTGTTTGAGAGGTGTTCACTGGCCCTTGATTGTTGGCTGTCTGGAGTTTCCCTGTTTCTGAGTGATGTCCCTTGTTTACTGTCTTGATTCTGGTGTTTTGTTTTGTTTTTTTAAATACTTGTCCAAATGCTGCTGGTGGATTTCAATGGCTTCTCTGTATCATATGAAATGATAGTTATCAGAGTGATCCAGAAGTTCTGTATTCTCCTGCAGTGATTAGAGGATCACACGTAGCATATTTTGGATTTTCTGGATGGGTATGTAGATTGTTTGTAGGTTATGTTTCTTCATCAACTTCCCTATATACTTCCACACAGCCAGGCTACATCTATGCAGAGACCCTCAATGATTGACTTCGCAGCTTCATGACTAGGCAATGCTATTCAAGCTTGCTCTTTGCAACATCCACGCTTGCTTTAAACCGACAAGGGTTCTTTCTCCCACCCTGGACATCATTCCACAGGGATATATATACACTCCACTTGCTTCACTACCTCTATGCAGAGACCCTCACTGATTGACTTTGCAGCTTCATGGCTACTCAATGCTATTCAAGCTTGCTCATTGCAACATCCACACTTGCTTTAAACCGACAAGGGTTCTTTCTCCCACCCTGAAGATTATTCCACAGGGATATATATAGACTCCACTTGCTTCACTACCTCTATGCAGATACCCTCACTGATTAACTTTCCAGCTTCAGGGCTACTCAATGCTATTCAAGCTTGCTAACTACAGCATCCACACTTGCTTTAACAAACAAGAGCTTTTTTCTCCCACCCTGGACATCATTCCACACAGGGTGCCTCTAGGCAACAGAGGCCAGGCTACCTCTGTGCAGATACGCTTACTGATTGACTTTGCAAACTTCATGGCTACTCCAATGCTATTCAAGCTTTCTAACTGCAACATCTATACCTACTTTACACAGACAGGGGTTATTTCTCCCACCCAGGGGATATATACGCACACACACACATATACACTTGCATCACTGCCAACAAACCTCGGAGGATGCCATTAGCCACAGATGCAGGCAAAACGTCATGAGGGAATGCTCCTGGAACATGGCCATACAGACCGGAAAACTCACAGCAACCCAAACAAGTCCTATTATAGTTTTCTTCTTCTAATTCTTTATTCATTGCGTGTAGAATTCCCATTCTTCTTGACATTTTTTTTTTACCAAGATCGTGTAACCTATCCATAGTCTTTCAGAGTTATATCTCTTGTAGTTCTTCATCATCACTGTCCCGACGCCCTCGAAAAAAATGCATCCATTTCTCAGTGGCGGCTCAATAGACGCCCTCCGTACTTGGCCGGGAAGCGGAGAGGAGAGCGCAAACTCCTGGGCTCGGTGCCTGGCCAGCCTTCGTCCCGCTTGTCTTCCCCTTCAAGGGTGCCTTGACAAGTTATCTCTCTTCTCTGTCACTCTGATGGATTGCTATAGGGAGGCCTTGCGTTGTTCCTTCCTTCTGAAATTCCTTCCTTCTCGGGCCAAGAAATCCACTCAAAGTACATGCCAGACCCCAATACAGTAGACTTTTGGTTAACCAGCATGCATAGATAGATAGATAGATAGATAGATAGATAGATAGATAGATAGATAGATAGATAGATATTGTGTTCCCATTGATCCAGTAGATCGATCCTAATTGGGCCTACCAGCTAGAATGATACATTATTTTATTGATTATGTTTTCATTGATCTAGTAGATCGGTCTTAATTGAAACTACCAACTACACTTAGGCCATAGATTCCATACTGAATTAAGGTTGAGTCTTCTTTCCAAAATATCCCAAATGGCCCTATTTTCTTTGCAAATGCTGCCAAATCCAAGCTTCTTGTCCCTATAAACAAAAGGGAGAGGAATGGTATAGTGTTCAATTCTGCTATTTTACACTTTTTATTATGCTTTAAATGGATTATGATGCCTCCATACAAAGGAATATTATCATCATCATCATCATCATCATCATCATTATACATCCCAACAGACATTTCTTCAAAGCCATAATTATTTTTGTTATGTTATTGTTGTTAATATTACTATTATTATTATTATACATCCCAACAGTCACTACTAGAAAGTCATTACTTTCATTATATTATTATTATTATTATTATTATTATTATTATTATTATTATAATACATATCTACAGGCATTACTTCAAGTAATTACTTTCATTATTTTGTTATTATTATTATTATTATTATTATTATTACACCTTATTATTTTTATTATTAATATTATTATTATTATTATTATACATCCCAACAGACATTACTTCAAAGTCATCATTTTTGTTATATTATATTATAATTATTTTATTATTATACATTATTATTATTAATCCCAATAGGCATTACTTCAAAATCATCAATACTTTTGTTATGTTATTGTTGTTGTCATACATCCCAACAGACATTACTTCAAAGTCATCATTTTCATTATATTATGTTATAATTATTTTATTATTACACATCATTATTATTATTATTATTATTAATCCCAATAGGCATTACTTCAAAGTCATCAGTACTTTTGTTATGTTATTGTTGTTATACGTACATCCCAACAGGCATTACTTCAAAGTCATCATTTTCGTTATATTACAATTATTTTATTATTATATATTATTATTATTAATGCCAATAGGCATTACTTCAAAGTCATCATTACTTTTGTTATGTTATTGTTGTTGTTATACATCCCAACAGGCATTACTTCAAAGTCATCGTTACTATTATTATTATTATTATTATTATTATTATATAATTCCATTTTCGTGTTCAGAATGTGTCCAATGCATTCAAGGCTTAGGGAGGAAAAGGACGTTTCCTAACATTTGGGATTGTCTATTTTGGGCTTTCACGCTCGACGTTTTTAAATAGGTTTCGATGATTCTCTAAAGCTTTCGTCACGTCCCATCCAAGCGCTAACCAAAGCTGACCCTGTTTAGCCTCCAAGATCTCGATCTTTTAAATCTGATTGCGGCTTTCAGAAAACGAGGGGCTTATCTTTTCCCATTTTAAACGCCTTCTTTTAACACTTCTCACATCCCAGTTTTGAGTCTTTTGCTGTCGTTGCCGTTATTGCTTTTTTGGAAAGAAAGAAAAAAGAGGGACTGTTTGGGGCCGGGATTGATGGAGGCTTATACAACCAACAGATGTGCTTTGGGCGCAAAATAGGCAGCGCCTGTCAAAGAACGCCTCCGAAGTGTCAAGAAGAAGCATCTGGAGGCCTTTTTATCGCAACTTGAGGCTGAAAAAACCCTTAGGTGGTCCTCTGGCCTTGTTCTTTGCTTCCAAATCCCTCCTGAAAGTGAGTGACGAACGGGACAAATTGTGCATTCTCCCTCCATTTCTCCTTTGCTGCCTTTTCCCTTCATCTGTTTGCTTTTCCTTGCATCTGTTTCAGGGCCCCTTTGGGGCCGAGCTCTGCGTCTTCTCCTCCTTCTCGGTGAAATACAGAGATCACGCTCCACAAATGTTTGAACAGGTTATTGACTTGGCTTTTTAAACGGCCGTTTGGAAATGAAGGCGTTGCGTGAGCTGATCCCGTATTTTTTGCTTTTTTTTTTTTTTCAAATTTGCTTTATGCTGTTTGCTTATCCCAAAATGTCACCTTGGGGAGACCGTTTTTCCAAAAGAGAGTGGCTTTATGATTCAGTATAATAAAAAAGGGAAAACACACAGGAGAGATCTAGTGGGACCTTTTAGACTAATTGGTTTATTTCTGCGCAACGGAGGAATACAGTAATAGTTCTCAATTGATTGAAATCCACGAATGCTCGCTTTAAAGGCTGCCAGTAGATTCCGTCCCTTCGTCTTTTGATTTACTGGGAATGACGGGGAGGAGATCAATATATTTCAGACTAGCTTGGGTGCCTGATGTTGCCCGAAATATTTGAAAAAGTCATTTTTTTATTTTACAAAATGCATAAGGTTGTGGGTGAACTACAACTCCCATCACACCAGGTTAACCCCCTGAAATGCCATCAGTAGTTAAAGTTCGTCATGTTGGGCAAGTTTGCTGTAGATCATATATGGGTACGCCCAGGCGGCCCCTTGGGCTCTTTTCTCAGGCCCTCCTCTCTCTCACCATCCCATCCTTTCTTCCTTCTCTCTTTCCTTCCTCCTTCCATCCTTCCCTTCCTTTCTTATCTCCCTCTTTATCCTTTCCTCCTTTCTTCCCTTCCACCCTTTCGTCCTTCCTTCCTTCCCTCTTTCCTTCCTTCCTTCTCTCTTTCTCCTTTCCTTCCCTTTTGTCTTTCCTTCCTTCTCTCTTTCCTCACTCCCTTCCCTCTCTCCATTCCCTTCCATCTTCCTCCCTTTCTTTCTTCCTTCCTTCCCTCTTTCCTCCCTCCTTCCCTCTCTCTCTTTCTCCTTCCTTCCATCCTTCCTTCCTTCCCTCCCTCCCTTTTGTATTTCTTTCCTTCCCTCTCTCATTCCTCACTTCCTTC